TGTAAATTCCTAGACACATACAATCTTCCAAGGCTGAATCAGGAAGAAACAGAAAATCTTAAAAGACTGATAACTACAAAATGAAATTAGTAACCAAAAAGTTCCAACAAACAAAAGCCCTGGACCAGATGTCTTCACAGGCAAATTTTACTAAATATTCAAAGAAGAATTAATACCTAACCTTCATAATCTATTCCAAAAAACTTGAGGAGCAGGGAAGGCATCTAAACTCATTTTATGAGGACACCATTACTCTCATACCAAAACCAGACAAAAAACACTAAAAAAAAAAAAAAGAAGAAGAAGAAAGAAAGAAAAAAGAAAAGAAAATTATAGGCCAATATCTCTGATGAACGTAGATACAAAAATTCTCAACAAAATATTAGCAAACAGAATTCAGCAATACATTAAAAAGATCATACAACATGTTCAAGTGGGATTTAATCCATCAGGCTGTTTTAATATCTGCAAATCAATTAATATGATACACCACATAAACAAAAATGAAATATAAAAATCACACGATCATATCAATACATGCAAAAAATCATTTGAGAAAATCCAACATCCATTTGTGATAAAAAAAAAATTCTCAGCAAAATGGGTATAGTGGGAACATATGTCAATGTAATAAAGGCCATATATGACAAACCCACAGCTAACATCATATTCAATGGTGAAGAGCTAAAAGCTTTTTATTTTCTTTGTAAAATTTTTAAATATCTGAAAAAATTAAAAAATATATTTTTATTGATTTCAGAGTGCAAGGGAGAGGGAGAGAGAGATAGAAACATCAATGATGAGAATCATTGATCAGCTGCCTCCTGCACACCCCACACTGGGGATCAAGGCCGCAACCCAGGCATGTGCCTTGGCTGGAATTGAACCCAGAACCCTTCAGTCCTCAGGCCGACACTCTATCCACTGAGCCAAACTGACTACGGCTAAAAGCTTTTTCTTTAAGATCATGAACAAGAGAAGGATGTCCACTTTCACCACTTTCATGCAACACAATCTTGGAAGTCCTAGCCACAGCAATCACACAAGAAAATGAAATAGAAGGTGTCCAAATTGGAAAGGAAGAAGTAAAACTGTCATTATTTGCAAGTGGCTTAATACTATATATAGAAAACTCTAAGGAATATACTAAAAAACTATTAGAACTAATAAATGAATTCAGTGAAGTTGCAAGATACAAAAAAAAAAAAGGAAAAAGAAATGCAGGAATGTGTTGCATTTTTATACAGCAAGTAGAGGCCCAGTGCATGAAATTCATGCATGGGTAGGGTCCCATCAGGTTCCTCGTCTCCCTGTCTTCCTGCCTCCTCCTTTCCTCACCACTTGCTGGCTGCCACTGTGTGGGTCCCTGTCTCCTGCTTTCTCTTGCTCCCTCAGTGCCCTGACACTGGTTGCCCGCCATGTTCTGTGCCGCCCCCTGGTGGTCAGTGTATGTCATAGCGAGTGATTGAACTTGTGGTCTCCTGGTCAAATTCCTGAGGGGACACTTTGCATATCAGTCTTTTATAAATAGATAGATAGATAGATAACAAACTATCAGAAAGAGAAATTAAGAAGAGAATTCCATTTACAATTGCATAAAAATAAAAATGAAATACCTAGGAATAAATTTAACCAAGGATGTAAAAGACCTGCACTCAGAAAACTATGTAAGACATTGAAGAAATGCGCTGAAGAAGATACAAAGAAATGGAAGGGTATAGGCCGCTCATGAATAGGAAGAATTAACATCATTAAAATGCCCATACTACCCAAAGCATTCTACAGATTCAATGCAATCCCTATCAAAATACCGATGACATTCTTCACAAAATTAGAAAAAGGACGCCTAAAATTTAAATGGAATCACAAACGATCCTGAGGAGCCAAAGCAATCCTGAAAGAAAAGCAAAGTTGAGGTATTAAGTTACCTGATATCAAACTATACTACAAAGCTACAGTAATCAAAACAGCATGCTATGGCATAAAAAGACAAACAGATCAATGCAACATAATAGAGAGCCCAGAAATAAACCCACACCTCAGTTAATCTAAGACATTAGAGTCAAGAATATACAATGCAGTGAAGACAGTCTCTTCGATAAATGGTGTTGGGAAAACTGGAGAGATGCATGCAAAAGAATGAAGCTGGATTGCTTTCTATTAACATATCCAACAATAAACTAAAAATAGATTAAAGACTTAAATATAAGACCTGAAACCATAAACCACCTAGAAGAAAACATAGGCAGTAAACACTTTGACATTGCTCTTAATGATTTTGTGTGTGTGTGTGGGGGGGGGGGGGCGTTATCTCCTCGGGGAAGGAAAACAAGAAAAAAAAAAGGAAATGGGACTGTCAAACAAAAACGTTTTTGCCCGCAAAGGAAACAATCAACAAAATGAAAAGGCAACCCACTGAACAGGAGAACATATTTGCCAATGATACATCAACACCAAAAAACCCCAAACAAACCAATTTAAAAATGTGCAATGGACCTGATTAGACACTTATCCAAAGAGGACATACATATGGCTATTAGACATATGAACAGATGCTCAACATCATGAACCATCTTGGGAAAGCAAATTAAATTAAATTAAAACC